CACTGGAATGGCTTAAGAAAAAGTTGTCCACTTTTGGTTTTACCTTACACTTTCAAAATAGAGGGAGTAGAGAGAAAAAGTGTGACTAACTGCCTAACTTTGGAGCCCAGCAGATACAAAAGCGAACTTCTCAGACTCTGGGTCCATCAGATTTGGGGGAAGTTTCAGTGCCTAGGGAAGGTTAGTGAAGCCCATTACACCACAAATCCTACAGAAAGAATTCTACAGCTCATCTATCACAGTGTTCTAGTAAAGCATATGCTGAAAAGTACAGGTTTCAACCTAACATCTAAATTTTTAAAATTAGCATTTCAGCAACAAACAAGCTCAGAGAGCTCATCGCAAAAGTGAAATAACAGAACTATTGCTCAGATGTCAAAAAAGTAAAGCTGCTGCCCTCAGCTCCGCTTAGGCAGACACGTAAGGTGGCGGCGGCTCCTTGGCAGCACCATTCACAGTGGCATCACCTACGGGGGTAGCAGCACTGTATTGTCATTGCTGGTAAAGTAAACCAGGACATCAGAGGAGTTCCTGCCATTGATGTATCGGTAGCAGTTCCAAACACAGCTAATTAAGTAACCTTTAAAAGTCAAAACAATGCTAATAAACAGAAGGATAATAAGGACCAAACAGGTAGGATTCACTGATAGGACATCATCTCTGTAGGGAAAATTAGGAGGCAGTTGTTGTATGTATTCCTGAATGGAGTTTGGATAAACAAGCACAATGATTGCAACCAAGGTGTTCAGGGCAAAATCAAAGATCTGGTAACAGAAAAATGTGATAATCCAGGCTGCGTGTTGCTTGTATACTCCTTAAGTGGCCATAGCGCATATCAGAATAAGGAGAAGAGAAATCGCAATGGCAATGCACATGTAGTTCCACTTGGCTGGGGAGGCCTGAGACTCATGGCACAAGGTGAAAAGCATTTCTTCCATGGTGGTGACAAGAGAAAATGAGCGTAAAATCTACTTTTTATGTTTTCACTGTGAAAGCCTGAAAAATGCCTGATATGTGGCCGGGTGCGGTGGTTCACGCCTGTAATCCCAGCACTTTGGGAGGCTGAGGCAGGTGGATCACGAAGTCAAGAGATCAAGACCATCCTGGTCAACATGGTGAAACCCGATCTCTACTAAAAATACAAAAATTAGCTGGGCATGTGGCGCACGCCTGTAGTCCCAGCTACTTGGGAGGCTGAGGCAGGAGAATTGCTTGAACCCAGGAGGCGGAGGTTGCGGTGAGCCGAGATCGCGCCATTGCACTCCAGCCTGAGTAAAAAGAGCGAAACTCCATCTCAAAAAAAAAAAAAAAAAAAGAAAAATGCCTGATATGTAACTTAACATTGCTTATAAGAAAGACTACAATGAAATTCACTAAAGACATTATAAAGGAGGGCCAGGAGCAGTGACTCACTCCTGTAATCCCAGCACTTGGGCAAGCTGAAGGTGGGAGGAACACTTGAAGTCCGGAGTTCAAGACCAGCTTGGGCAATGTTGCAAGACCCAATGTTCAAGACCAGCTTGCTATGTTGCAAGACCCATATCTGTTTTTTTCAAGAAATAACTGAAATCGGTAAGTTAAAAAAAAACAACAAAAGACAATATGAAGGAAAAAAAGAGAAGAGTAGCTCAGGTATGTTAACTTACCCTAAGACCTTACCAAGATGGGTGATGTTTTTTTTTTTTTTTTTGAGACGGAGTTTCGCTCTTGTTACCCAGGCTGGAGTGCAACGGTATGATCTCGGCTCACAGCAACCTCCGCCTCCTGGGTTCAGGCAATTCTCCTGCCTCAGCCTCCTGAGTAGCTGGGATTACAGGCATACGCCACCATGCCCAGCTAATTTTTTGTATTTTTAGTAGAGACGGGGTTTCACCATGTTGACCAGGATGGTCTCGATCTCCTAACCTTGTGATCCACCCGCCTCGGCCTCCTAAAGTGCTGGGATTACAGGCTTGAGCCACCGCGCCCGGCCGGTGATGGTTTTTGAAAGAACAAAATATCATAGTTAACTTGTTAAGGAAAAAAATGAGATGCAAATAGAATGAAAATGGTTAAAATAAATTTGAATAGAATAAAATTAAAGTTGCCCAACAAATAGAAAGATTAGAAATGTATTCATATCATTGAAAAAGACATGGAGAAAAAATTTTTTTAAGTTACTACATACTCTTATTTTAAAAAAATGAAACACAGAGGAAATGTGGTAAGTTGTGAGATCTAAAAGAGCATCCTCAGAATATTCTAAATGGTCAACACGACCAATAGTGGGACAAATTGCACTGAGTTTAATAGTCCAGATTATATTTCATTTTTTAAATTTCATTTATTTTCCCTTTTGTTTTAACCATGTTTGGCGATAGGTTGTATTTGATAGCCTGACTTGAGTCGGGAAGAAACAGACAAACCAAAATTGACCAACAGTCTACAGAATTAATCTTTTCGCTTCAAAAATTTCAATATTGGCCGGGCGCGGTGGCTCAAGCCTGTAATCCCAGCACTTTGGGAGGCCGTGGTGGGTGGATCACGAGGTCAAGAGATCGAGACCATCCTGCTCATCATGGTGAAACCCCGTCTCTACTAAAAATACAAAAAATTAGCTGGGCATGGTGGCGCGTGCCTGTAATCCCAGCTACTCAGGAGGCTGGGGCAGGAGAATTGCCTGAACCCAGGAGGCGGAGGTTGCGGTGAGCTGAGATTGCGCCATTGCACTCCAGCCTGGGTAACAAGAGCAAAACTCTGTCTCAAAAAAAAAAAAAAAAAAATTCAATGTCATGAAAGACAAAGTCTGAGGGAAAAAAAAGGATTAAGGGAGCAAAAGGACAAAATAACTAAATTAATTGAATCATTGACGTGGGAAAAATACCAGAAAGTACATTATTGGGAAATGGATTATATTTAAATATGAGCTAAGATGAGATCACAGTATTTTATCAAATTTAAATTTTCTGATTTTGATTATTATATGGGGATATACAAGAGAATAATATCCTCTTTTTTTTTTTAATTTTTTTATTTTTTGAGATGAAGTGTCACTCTGATGGCCAGACTGGAGTGCAGTGGCACGAACTCGGCTCACTGCAACCTCCGCCTCCTGGGTTAAAGCAGTTCTCCTGCCTCAGCCTCCCAAGTAGTTGGGACTACAGGGGCACACAACCATATCTGGCTAGTTTTTATATTTTTTTTTGGTAGAGATGGGGTTTCACCGTATTGGCCAGGATGGTCTCGAACTCCTGACTTTGTGATCCACCCACCTCAGCCTCCCAAAGTGCTGGGATTATAGGCGTGAGCCACTGCACCCGGCATTCCCAGTTAGTTTTCAAAAAATACATTTTTGTAGAGATGGAATCTTACTATGTTGCACCATCTGGCTTTTGAACTCTTGGCCTCCCGAAGAGCTGGGATTACAGGTGTGAGCCACCATGCCCTGCCTTGTCAGGTTCCTTTTCATTGGTGTGTTAGATCTACATTAACTGAAATAGAATACTGCTTATTTTAGTTAATAATTGGGAAGAACAAATTAGACAATATATGTATAACCTTTAGAGCATTGACTTTACGCAAGAAATATTCATTGTATATTGACATAATAAAATAATTAGCAGACTTTAAATGTGTGACAGATTTAAATTTCAAAAATTTACGTGTTCCACAAGTATAGTCATTCCTCACTTGATGTCAATAGGCTCGTGGAAACTGTGATTATAAGTGAAACCACCTACAGCAGTTTCCTGAATATCACTCCATATTGATACAATGCTGATGAGAAAAATATTGGTTTAATCATATGTTGCTTTGCTTATAGTCACAGAAAAACAGGCCCTAAATGCCACTCCAGATCCAGACCCAAATAAGGAAAAAGATGGATATGTTTGATTGCATTAAAAAGAAAACCTTTTGCAGGAGATAACATAGTGAAAGGAAAAAGACAACAAACTGGGAAAAGAATTTAGAAATTATATCACAGACTAAGAGCTAATAGTTCTATCAGAGAGAAAATAGAGAAATTTAGAAATCTTCTACAAAAACAGGTGGTTAACAACAAGAACAAAGCCAAATCGTTCTTAATCATATGAAAAAAATATTCTTATTTGTAAGAGAAATTCAAGTGAAAATCACACTGAGGCTGGGTGCGGTGGTGCACACCTATAATCCCTGCACTTTGGAAGGCAGAGGCAGGTGGATCACCGGAGGTAGAGAGTTTGAGACCAACCTGACCAATATGGAGAAACCATGACTCTACTAAAAATACAAAATTAGCTGGGCATGGTGGCTCATGCCTGTAATTCCAGCTACTCAGGAGGCTGAGGCAGGAGAATCACTTGAACCCAATAGGTGGAGGTTGCAGTGAGCTGAGATCATGCTGTTGCACTCTAGCCTGGGCAACAAGAGGGAAACTCCCTCTCAAAGAAAAAAAAAACAAAAATTACAAACTGATGTCATTTCTCTTAATTGGCAAAATCCCACATTTGCCAACATAATCATTGGTAAGACTATAGTAAAACAGATATTCTCTAACACTGAATAGAGGAAATGCAAAATGATATGACCCTCCTGTGGAAGACTGTTCCTTTAAGTAAAAATCCCTTTCCTTTAGACTCTAGAAGTGAGCTAAGTCAGTTGGGTCAGCAATATTCTTCCTTCTAGAATGAAATAATATTCTAAAAAGAGAATGATCTAAACCGACCTTAACTCACTATGAAACACTCTTTAAAGAAAGTTCGGCCCGGCATGGTGGCTCACGACTATAATCCCAGCACTTTGGGAGGCCGAGGTGGGTGGATCACGTGGTCAAGAGATCAAGACCATCCTCGTTAACATGGTGAAACCCCATCTCTACTAAAAACACACACACAAAAAAAGAAATCTTCATTCTTTTTAACTACACAATGCCCATATCCTGTTAATCCCATATAATATACATAGTTGGTAGCTAATTAACTATTTTATCATTATGTAATAGAGATCTCAATGGCAAAGCAGCATAAAACAAATGTAATTACTTTTCATTGAGGGTGCATCTTCGGTCGGTAGGATGCCCATTGTATGACTTTAGATTCTCAGTGAGCTCTGTGTATAGTCGGTCGGCCATTGGAAGAGGGATTCCATCCCATACCATGATGAGCACCACCATCACAGCGGTTGGACAGTGGTGGCCTGTACGCTGTCGGACCAAACAAAGAACTTTTTCTTCATCACTGCTTCTTCTCAAAACCTGAAAAAAAAGAATGCAAACATCTATGGAAAACAAGTACGGCAAATTTGAATACAATGGATATTCCTTTTAACATTCTGCATGATTATAGTTTAGTTTATTTTCTTAGTAAAATTTGATGAACACATGGGTCCAACTATGTTACCCAGGCTGGTCTCAAACTCCTAGCTTCAAGCAATCATCCCTCCTTGGCCACCCAAAGATCTGGCATTACAGACATGTGCCTCCATGCCCGGTCATATTTTAGATTTTTTAAAGTTACTACTTCTCAAGGGATAAAAGCCTACAGGACATTCCAGTGCCTCAGTAGTTCCCACCATGAGACTCATCACAAGAGTACCTGATCCTATATTGCTAACAAACAACAGGCAGAACAAAAATCTATGACACGTGGTTACTATTTGTAGAAGTAGTATAAGGCAGTCTGCATTTTATTTCACTGCTGTTATAGTTTGCACAACAGACGAGAGGGCCTGGTGGAAAACCTAACTGCTCTCAAATTCCACAAATGTCACAACGGAACAAATGTAGATGATGGAAACAAGCATCTGATGTAGGTAGATGGAAATAACGAAGAACTCTCAACATTAAAAATAAACTTGACAACTGAATTTTGGCCATCTGAGGAATGTTATGGAGTTTCCTTTGGGTGATTCATTTTACTTATCAAGAGCTAATATACACAAAGCAATGCCTCTGTGATTTCTATGAGTTTTACATGCTATCGGAAGGATGCATTGTACACATTTTATTCACAAGACTAATGTGATCTAGTTGACTTGGTGAATGTAAAATAGAAAAATTAATTTTAAATATTTATTTATTATCTTATACTGCATCAAATTCTTGGGATGCTAAAAAGGCTTCAGCACTATTCAAAATTTGCTCAGTGATCAGAGTGTTTACTACAAAAAAAAAAAAATTTCTCAGGGGCCGGGCGCGGTGGCTCAAGCCTGTAATCCCAGCACTTTGGGAGGCCAAGGCGGGTGGATCATGAGGTCAAGAGATTGAGACCATCCTGGTCAACATGGTGAAACCCCGTCTCTACTAAGAATACAAAAAATTAGCTGGGCGTGGTGGTGCGTGCCTGTAATCCTAGCTACTCAGGAGGCTGAGGCAGAAGAATTGCCTGAACCCAGGAGGCAGAGGTTGCGGTGAGCCGAGATCGCGCCATTGCACTTAAGCCTGGGTAATGAGAGCGAAACTCTGTCTCAAAAAAAAAAAAAAAAAAAAAAAAAAATTTCTATACAAATGTCACCACTGAAAACCATCCAACCATTTAAAACTGTCTCCCTGTAGCACAAATTTAAAAAGTGCAGAGATTGACTACATTAATCACTACACAATCAGGACATGATGAAAATGCCCATCCATGTGACCAGAAAGGAGCAACCAATAGCATAATTTTTTGTTCCTGTAATATCACAAAACTTGAAACTTCTTAAGAAGTTAGTTACCCAATATCACTTTCTTCTGTCACTCCAGATGGTTAACAATCATTGCTACCAAGGCATCCCTTGAGTAGAGTTGGCTTTAGGACCTTCCCCCTAAACACAATTATTTATATTAAAATTTTTTCTATTATTTACATGTCCTCTTACAGCCAAATAATAACACACTGTTTGCCAATAACCACAAATGCAAACTTATATATAATATCAAAATTGTATCAGTTAATATTCAAGTTGTCAAAATTGATAACAAATTTACATTAATCAAGTTTTTGTATTGGAAATACTAAAATGCTTTTTACTGATGATATTTGTCCTTTTCCTGAATATTCCAAATTTCCATCAGTGTACCATAGAAAATTAAGCACAATGGTTAGGAGTGTTTAAATTCAAATCTGAGTTCAATAAACTGCTTAAATATTAAATGTATTGGCCAGGTGTAGTGGCTCATGCCTGTAATTCCAGTACTTTGTGAGGTCGGTGGATCACATGAGGTCAGGAGTCCAAGACCAGCCTGGCCCACATGGCAAAACCCCGTCTCTACTAAAAATACAAAAATTACCCGGGTGTGGTGGTGTGTGCCTGTAATCCCAGTTACTCAGGAGGCTGAGGCAGGAGAATTGCCTGAATCTGGGTGGTGGAAGTTGCAGTGAGCTGTGATCACACCATTGCACTCCAGCCTGGGCAACAGAGCGAGACTCCGTCTCAAAAAAAAAAAAAAAAAAAGAAAAGAAAAAAAATTAAATCTGTTAAGACCTCTGGAAACTAAAAATATTATTGAAATAAAGGCCTAACTAAATGCAGAGGAATATAAATTCATGGAATAGACGTTATTATGTCAACTTTCCCAAAATTGATCTCTAGATTCAATGCAATCCCATTCAAAACCCTATCAGAGAGGTGTGTGTGTGTGTGTGTGTGTGTGTGTGTAAATTGACCCACTATACCAAAGTTTATGGAAAAAAATGAATCTTGACCCCTATCTCACACTAATCAACTTGAATTATACATATTTAAACACAAAAAATAAAGCAATGAAGAATTTTAGAAGAAAACATCTTCCTGATCTTGGAGTGGGCAAAGCATTTTAAAATGGCTTACCAAATCAGCTAACTGAAAAGAAAAAAAAGGCTGTGTGCCTCAGCTCACACCTGTAATGCCAGGATTTCGGAAGGTAGAGGTGAGAGGATTGCTTGAAGCCAGGAGTTTGAGACAAGCCTGGGCAACATGCTGAGACCCAGTCTCCACACAAAAAAAATAAAATAAAATAAACTGGCATAGTGGCATATGCCTGTAGTTCCAGTTACTTGGAAGACTGAGGCAGGACTATCACTTGGGATGGAGAATTCAAGGCTATCATCAGGCACTGCAGCCTGGGCAACAAAGTGAGACCCTGTCACTAAAAAAAAAAAAAAAAAAAAAAAAAAGAAATAGCAGGCTAGGTGCAGTAGCTCATTTGTATAATCCCAGCATTTTGGGAGGTGGTTCGACTATTTGAGGTCAGGAGTTTGAGACCAGCCTGGGCAATATGGTTAGACCTCATCTTTTCAAAATATACAAAAAGTGAGCTGGGTGTGGACACCTGCCTGCAGTCTAACTTACTTGGGAGGCTGAGGCGGGAGGGTCCCTTGAACCCAGGAAGCAGAGGTTGCAGTGAGCCCCCAGACTATGCCACTGCACTCCAGACTAGGTGACAGAGAGAAACTCCATCTCAAAAAAATAAATATAAAAATAAATAAAGACAAGCAAAAGGGCAGGAGGAAAATATTTACATTACATATATTTGGCATAATATATATGACACAACACATATAGAGAATATCCCCCATAGAAAACTGGCCAAAAAAAATTAATAGGCACCTCACAATAGAGAATATGGAAATAGATGATGAGCATATGAATATAGGCCCAACAATATCGGTCATCTAGCAAAGTAAAACACAATAAAAAGGAGCTACCAAGGCCGGGCACAGTGACTCACACCTGTAATCTTAGCACTTTGGCAAGCCAAGGCAGGTGAATCATCTAAGGTCAGGAGTTCAAGACCAGTCTTGCCAAGATGGCAAAACCCTGTCTCTAATAAAAATACAAAAATTAGCCAAGCGTGGTAGTGCACACCTGTAATACCAGCTACTCGGGAGGCTGAGGAAGGAGACTCACTTCCACCTGGGAGGTGGAGGTTGCAGTGAGCAACCCATATTGGTGGAGAGAAGAGAGTGTTGTGATAAAGTTACTGTTAAATTTCAAGAGGCAACTGTCAGTGAGAGTATTCTTGAATTATCAGGTCACGGACAGAAGAGGTTCAAAGCCCCATAGGTTTTTGTTATATCAGACAAATTTGGCTTCTACTCATGTCATACGCTTATAGAAAACAGAAAAACCAAGTATTTAAACAGCTTTTTAATGGCCCTACTTCCAAAAACCAGAAGAACACTGAAGGTATACACATTCTTGTTCTGTTTGTACAAAAATGTATCATCTACTCCTAATGTCAGTGAATACTATGCTGACATTTAATTATTTTTCTAATATATTCACTAACTTCTTGTTGGTATACAGACTTCATAATTGTTCTACAGTCCTATTTGAAACATGGACTATATAATATATGACTGGTATGAAAATAATGAAACACAATTATTATACCTAGAATAGTCTTCCTTGAATATTTTTCAAGAGAATCACAGAAAAATCTACTCAATTTTTAAAGAGAATAAAACAAGTGGATTCTTACGTACTGAAAATGCAATAATAGCTTTACTATATATCAGAAATAACCAGATAGAAGTTTGGTTTAAAGTCTGATATCTTTTTTTTTTTTTTTTTTGAGACTGAGTTTTGCTCTTGTTACCCAGGCTGGAGTGCAACGGCGCGATCTCGGCTCACTGCAACTTCCGCCTCCTGGGTTCAGGCAATTCTCCTGCCTCAGCCTCCTGAGTAGCTGGGATTACAGGCACACGCCACCATGACCAGCTAATTTTTTGTATTTTTAGTAGAGACAGGGTTTCACCATGTTGACCAGGATGGTCTCGATCTCTTGACCTCGTGATCCACCTGCCTCGGCCTCCCAAAGTGCTGGGATTATAGACGTGAGCCACTGCACCCGGCCTAAAGTCTGATATCTCAATAAAGTTGTTAGAAAACAAAAAGATGCAAAGAACATAAGAATAAAACTGTAAAAGATATAGAGAGAAGTTTATAAAAGAAAGTTCAGTTGGAAGAACATAATAGTGTTCCTAAATGAGAAAGCCAACCCTAGAAGACTAGTCACAAATCTCTCCCCCAATCTATTCAAATTTAGCTTGTTTCTAAGGTTCATATGGAAGAGTAAATGAGGCCTGGCGCGGTGGCTCACGCCTGTATTCCCAGCACTTTGAGAGGCCGAGGTGGGCGGATCACAAGGTCAAGCGATCAAAACCGTCCCAGCCAACATAGTGAAACCTCGTCTGTACTAAAATATAAAAATTAGCTGGGCATGGTGACGGGCATCTGTAGTCACAGCTACCTGGGAGGCTGAGGCAGGAAAATTGCTTGAACCCAGGAGGTGGA